TCACAAAAATAGGGGGTTCGGCCAAATCCCCCCCCCCTTGCGTACGTGCACGAGTTATTGTTTTTCTTCCTCTTGGTTTGGGATGAGTTTGGTCTGATAGTTAGCCTTATGGACTCTATAAACTTGAAGTTTATGATTTGTGTCCAATTATCGTAAACTTTCGCTTTGCACTTCGGGTCGGCGGATGCTTTATAAGAGTGACTGCCAAATCCCACAATTTTATTCAGTGAGTGCCGCTGACTAGCTGCCTTCCCTCTAGTCTATATTGTTCAAAATTATCTAGCGCAGATATCCCTTGTCTAGCTTTGTGTGAATATCCAAAACAAAGGGGGCATGCACCTTTGTAGCGTAGGCTTATAACTTTAAAAACCGGGTATCAATGCTCATGATGGGCATAGCAAAGATGGCCAATTGTGTGACTGTGTTTAACAATAAACAAAACAACTGTCCTTCTGAATTTTGTGATGGACAATGAGGATTAGATTTCCTAAAATTCCTAAGTGTTTACTGGTTTAACTGTTGAGCGAGGACATTCATCCACGTGGCTCGGATTGTAACGTCAGAGAAGTAGTAAAAGTTTCGGGTGTTTAGCGTGTTTGTTTAATTAATAAAACATCAGTGACTTGTGTAACGTTAGTGCTGTTAGTGTTACGTAATCATTAATGGAAAAAATATATGGATTTTTTTTTTATAGAAATTATTACTTTACATTGTTTTTTTACTCCACCTAGTAAGAAAGAGGTAACTGTTTGTTTGACAATTTCTAGTATTTAAACTTATATGTGAAATGAAACAAACTTTTAATATATTCGGGTTACTCGGTAACGGGTAAGCACATTAATTTTATAAAGTAATAAACTGTACCAAGCAGAATTCCAATGTCATACCTTATTTAATAAATAATTAAAAGTACCGTAAGTGTGGTTCGACTTTAAAAGTTCTTAAGCCATAACTCGTTCCGACTTTATCATTTTATGCACTAGTACAACTCTAGACTAGAGAAGTTACCAACTCAATAACTGTTAATTACTACTATTTCTAGTTTATGTAGACCTGTGTGAAAATATCTATAACTATAAAAATCCAATTGGAAAGTAAGTCGGAGATTCAATAGGAACTTTGAATTAGGACTCATTTCTTTCTTTAATATTCCATTTCCAGTTAAACTTTTAACTAAAGGCTAATTGGATCCAACAGCAATCCTGTCAGATTACTGCAAGAATCAACTTGAAGGCTAATTCGATTCAATGATAATCCTGTCAGATTTATGCAAGAATACAGTTAAAGGCTAAAAAATTATACAACACTTCCATTAGATTCCTGTAAAAATCCAGTTAAAGGCTAATTGGATCCCAAAGCAGTCCCAGTAGGTTCTTATAATAATAATAATCCAGTTGAAGAATGAATGAATTCATTAGTAATCCCATTAGATTCCTGCAAGGATCAAATTGAAGGTCAAAGAAAACGTGCCATATTTCAGTGAGAACTTTTGAATTGAAGCTAGTTAGTTAAGAAAAATTAAAAGTAAAGCTAATAATAATACTGAATGAATGCCACTCAGTAGATAAAAATGTCACAAGTAATATAAAAGTGTAAAGTTAACTAGATAACAAAAATACAAGAAATTATGCTAAACCAAAACTGTAATGCATTACAAGTGAGATAATTTTAATACTAAACAAGAGCTATGGAGCACTGCATTTAAAATTCTCTCATGACGTTTTTTAGGTTTGAAAGATTTTTATATACTATTTCAGTTGTCACTATATGAATGTGTTAAAATCAATTGAAAAATGTATTCCAGTTGGCTTACATTACATTATCACAAGGAAATACATGACCATATTAGGAAAAAATGACTTTATATAGTGGGAACATTGTATTAAGTAAATTACCTTGTATTTGACTACCAAATACCTAGAATTGTTGAAGTTAACTTTTCTGTTTGAAAAAATCATCCCCTTTTCTTTTAGCATATTTATATCATTTTATTTAGATTATAACTAAGGATTTACATTTGAACAAAATCCAACAACAGCCTTTTATAACATTTGAAGTAACTTATAAACCAAGTAGGCTCAGCTTATAAAGTACTTTTGATATTATAACTGAGGAAGTAATGTTTAAGAACCATGTGAGTTTTGAAAACATTTAGTTACACATCATAATTCCGGTTACAAATATATATGAAAATATTAAATATTATGTATTTTAAAATTTTTTAAAAATATCATGTATTTTTCATTTGGGATTTATTTCTCTTAATAAAAGCTCTTATCATTCAAGTATTTAGCAAACCTTCCCATAAATTCACTTCATCCACCACATCTGAAGATAACCTTTATAAAGGCCAACTAACCTATTAGAAAAATAAAAATGTCTAGCTAAGCTGAAGATGACTCCTACTCTACCAAAATTCGTGTCATACAGTGCTTTCCTCCTATAGCTGGCATGGGGTTCATACAGACTGATGGTAGAAAAGGTGACCATGGATGCTTATCACAAATTTCCTTCTCCCATTGTTGGTTATGACCCCTTGAGTCTGATGGTAGAGGAGGTGAGCACACAAGATACTATCTGAATGAGACCCAACCTCACTACACATATTGGCTGTTTGGCAGCTTGTGTGCGAGTTCTTAGATGGCCATGTACCTATCCTGCCCATCCTTGTGACACAGATTTGGCTTTTCTGCCTCTTCTATTCTCTATTTGTGAAGAGTATACCCTGGATGAGATGAGATTTGGTCTCCCATGGATGTGCCCCTATGGAGCTCCTTCTACAGGGTATCACACCCCATGGGCTTCCTTTAGATGCTTTTTGAAGGAGCTCATTTATATAATTTTCACACCAGTCCCTCCATCATTTCAATGTAGAATTCTAGCTATTCTGTGTGTGAGGAGGTGAGTATATGTTTCAGAAGTTAACACTTTCCTTACCTGAAAATTTATATTTGATAGATACTAACCTCTGCACATTTCTTGTTAGACTTATCAAAGAATGAGGATTCATGAGCTTGAATGTAGAGGGATTCATTGTGCATGGAGGTGTGTCGGACTTCTGTTGCTGGAGGGTTGTGCTACATGATTACATCATTCTACAATGGCACAAATTCACATAGATTCATGTGAGATTAGGTAGGAGTTTTCACAAAGCTGGTGGCTGGCAAATATTTGTAACAGAGGAAAGAAGCTATTCTGTGTGAAGAGGTATCTATCAGAAATACATATTCAGGTAAGGAAAGATTTTACTTTCATTTACTTGGATAATTGAATGATGAAAAACAGTAATAATCAGAAACCCTAATTTTCATTAGTTGATTATTTTTGTGACAATCAATTTAATCATAATTTTGATTAATCAAATAGGTTATGTGACACTAATTGATACAATTACTGCTCATAGGTAATTAATTATATTGATTAAATCACCCAGTTGTAGTGTGAACACCTTATGGATTGTAGGCACAGAAAGTATATTCATATTTTTGTATAATGTATACACTTAACTCCAGATATAAAGTAGTTTGAGTTACAGTTTCTGAGCAATAAAATAATATTTTGATATTATTCTGTGGATGAAGTCAGATTTTTTCAACACTGATATGCCTTGATTAGTTAAACAGAACTATTAGTAACTTCTTATTTTCATTATAGCCTGTCAGTCTGGCCTTTAACTGAAAATGTTTTATTTTGTTCCATGGGTATAGTGAATTTTTGTTGTTGAACAGTGAGGAAAACTATTAGCCAGATTGCCCAGGACAACCAAAAATATCTTTCAGACTTTTCTCTTTTCTAGCAATCCTATTTTTGAATGTAACTATCACTCCTGTACAGCAAAAGAAAATTTTGGGCTGAAACTAGACTGTTGTTTTCATCCCAAGTTCTTCTCACATATTATTCCAATAAAACACAATACATCACCACATTAAGAGGGATTAGTATTTTTCATCTGTGGTGTTTGAGTGATTTTTGAGCTAGTGTAGATAAGCATAATAGATCCACCTTTCACCATCAACTTGCATATGCTATTTCTCTGTTTCCCCAGCAAGATCACTGTTACTTAATTAACATTTTTGAGCTTCTGTTTGGTATGAGGGAAGAAGAAGAAGCTAACCTTTTCTTTCAAAATATTGACAATCTAGTAGCAGGGAAGTTGGAAATACACAACCTCTCCCATAGCATGAGGAGGCAGATCATAAAATAAATGAATATGAAAAAACAAGGAAGCACTGCATTCTTTCATACCTTCATGAATGAAATCATCTTTTGTGCTCATGTGGGACAGTTAAAAGAATCAAGTGTTCTGCCAGAGTTGTTTTAAATTCAGCAGACAGTGGAAGTCTTTTCACCAAGGATACAAGTACATTCCATATAGATCCCATAAAAGCCCATGACACTTCTATACATCACAATAAATATTTAAATGCTCAAGCAACCACAGAAAATCCAGTGCAGAGTTAATATTTGGAAAAGACATGCTAGGCCTCAATTAAGACAGCTGTATTTTCCTAAGATGATAATGACTTGTGGAATGAGTTGCTGTTGGCATTAGTGGATGACAACATTTTATAAGAGTTTAATAAAGAAGGGGGTGAGGTCAATTTCCTGAAGAATAAAGGAGTCTTTACATTTTTATTTTTCTCAGGGGTGGGTGTGCAAGAACAGCCTTCAAGGACCAAATGATCTGTTCTCTGTAAGCTATATTATCCTCTCTTAAACAAGATGAGCAAAACTGAACACTATTCCAAAAAAGGTCTATCCAACACTTTATTGAGTGAACTGATGACCTCCTTTGATTTGTACTCAATACTTCTATTTATACAACCTAAAAGCCTACTTGACTTATTATTAGCTATTGTTTTTACATTGTCTGAAAAGCATTAGATATTTTATAATAGCTGTGACTTGATGTATTTTTCATTATCAGGTTTACCTAGAATCTTTTCGAGCAAGGCTATAAGGATACTCCTATACAAAATTATCATTTGAGAATAGGTTAAGATCTCTTGAAAGATTTTTACTACAGAAGAAAAAGACTTTGGAGGATCATTATTATTAAGCTTATAACATTGCTATGTGTTTAGAATCCATAAATTCAGGAGACTGCATGCAGTAAGAATAAGGAAATGAAGTTCAACTCCTTCACTGTGGCAGCAGTGTTTATTCCCTGCGCATAACATTCTGTTGGAATGTTGCAGTTTTTGCTAACTAGTTTCAAAGCCATTAAAAGAGATTATGATTTCACTGTATATTCCCTTGTTTTTTTTATACTAAGCAACACTCAAAGAATGCTTTCCTGACATTTTTAGGCCTACTGCTCTTAGTTACATAACTTATCTTGACATACTTATATGCCGTGCATACTTTACAAGTATGTGTTATTAATAACTTATTTGGAAAAAAAATCTTGGGGTTTCTCTGATATTCACTGCTTTGATGTTTCTGGGATGAAAAGGAGGAAAACCTATTGTACAAGTGAAAGCATATTTCAAGTTTTTCATGGCTAAACAATGATATACAGCTACAGGTGAAGCCCCAGGATTTATCCCCAAGCTGTTGTGAAGCATGTTATTCTGCTGAAAATATGTGGTTGTCACATGACTTTACTGTGTGGTCTGCAGGACATGTAAGTGCTAGTCATCTTTGGGATTTACCTAGTATGCAGTATTTATGTAGCCTGTGTAGGATCAAAGTGAAAGAAGGTTAATATATATATTGTAGATTCTACAACATAACACATACATAAATGGATATCATGTTGTAGCCCTATGGCACAGTGCAACAGAAGGGTTAAAATATGGAACCCAGACATGACTCCATTTATTGTAAGAGAATTCTCCTTTTCTAATAAGGTATTTGGCTTGTTTGTCTTCAGATATAGTAGAAGCTGCAATATTGGAGGAGTTTAAAAAGAGATTGGGTAATAATTTTAGAGATCAGAGTTGTACAAAGGAAAATGGGTTTCTGTATATAGCTTGAAGTAGGGTAGTAGTAGAAATAGTATAGACTGGTCAAATGGATCATTATTATTCCTTGGAAATGAAAGGACTCAATTTTTCTCCATTCTCAGAGGGTCTATCTTGTGACTTATCTGAATGTATATCACATTGGCTGCTAGAACCATGAAACCTAATCACAATACTTATTTGTAAATAGGTTACTAAAATGTGATCAATTAACTTGGCCAACTAGACATTGCAAAAGGAAAGAAGATACCTGCCCACTACATGGGAAAAGATTACCTTGATTTGGTTCTCTTCATTAGGCAGATGTGGCTACGTTTAGAATTTAGACACAAGCTGACTACAGCAGTTGGCAAAGGATCATGAAATTTGTTTAAACATGTTAAGGAAATGGTCACAAAAATTCAACACTGGGCTTGCACAATTAAACAAATGTTACATATTCTATTAATAATTTATATCATTGTGCCACCATCTGTTTGTCAGATATCATCATAACATACTTAACCTGATTAATGAAATGTAACTAAATGTTCTGCATTTATTGATCTCTGTTTATCAAACACTGGTGCATCAAACAATGACTTGTTATAGGTTATGGAACTGCTGGGAGAATCATTTCATGACTTCCAACAATATAGCAGAAAGAACTAACTCAATATAAATCTTATGTCATTTTAAAATTCAGAAGAGTTTGAGCATATTGAATATCAGTTGAATTTTTAAGCTGAAAGTATTCACAGTAGATGTCTCTGTAATGTAATGAACAGTCAGGTGGAGCCAATTGACACTAGGAGTTTCATTGTTAATGTTAGCTTATAGTGATCATTGTTTTTAGAGTTACATAAAATATAAGGAGTAAACCTAGTTAAAACAAATGAAAAATAGTTAATAATAACAAACTTAACAAAATAACTAACCCTCCAAAACATATAATGAGTATGTATTCCAGAACCTGTAATTATAAGAAAAGTTAATTTTAAATCTTTGGCAAAATTCAGGACTTATCTATGATAATAAATCTCGTAAAAACATGAGTTCAAGTAAGTATACCTGAGTACTTAAATGTTTAAAGATTTTCACTACAAATTGAAGTAGAGCTTATTATATTAGTCAGTCACAAAATATATTTGGTTTAAAATTGCTTCCTATGTACTGTATATTAAAATGTAAGTTTCCTATGTAGATTAAACATTCTTTCTAAGTTGTGTAATGTTTGATATTGACAAAAATGTCTATTTTTCATATTTATACCATCAGTCAGATAATTGAATAGCACTGCTTTCACACTTGTTAAATACTTCAATCTGTGGCACCACATTAAGGATATAAACCTAAAAACTATCCTACCTGATTTACAATATCCATGTGTTTAAATACTTTGTCTGTCAAACTTTTTTTACAAGACAATATTAAAGAAATTGTTGAAAATGAGGTACATCATTAAAGAAATAAATTCACAAATGAAATTAAATACACTTCATACATAATTGCATTAATTCTTACCTAAGTTGTAGACCCTCTGGTGTTGCACTGGGACTACTATTACAAATAGTTTTCTTTCTTTACATGAAAAATATACTTATCACACATTTTCACTGTACAGTTCTTATCTAGAATGAGCAAATTGTTCTTTCAATTCTCCTATTGGAGTTCATTGCATTCAGCTACCACAAATGATAGACCCCATTTAGCCAAATAAGGAATGTTATACAACAGTCTACTTGTATTGTTTTCTTTATGGGTTTCAGGTTTATCGAAACAAAGTGTCAGCAAAATGCTCCTCCCACATACCATATAAAGTGCAAAACATTGAGTTCAAGCCACACAATTTGCCACTTGTGAAGATCTTGATAATGATGTCACAGTTTACATCATGTCATAGTTTCTCATTGATCTTCAGGTCAAGAGTTCTGAATTTATACTCATAAATCAAGTATCAAATAAACATCAACATTTATTCTACAACTAGTAGATGTTATATGTATTTCATCAACAACACTAAAAGTGCCATTAAAACTGATTACCTTTACAGTATGAGCAATACATGCTAACAATACAACAATCACACATAAAGCTGTACTATTCTGATGCTCAAACTGGTAAACCCTACGTTGCCTTATCAATAGGTTTTATCTTTTTTGAATTATTTCAATAAGCTTCAACTTCTATTTTATTGTATTTTGTGTTCTTATAGGATTGGCATTTTTGTTTTATTTATAATACAATTCCTTTATTTAACTTACATCTTTATAATGATCATTTAACTACCATATACTGAGTAATATCAATAATATAAAAGTAGTGGAAATAACCAAAGCCTTTAATACTGATAAGGCACTGTATTTGGGTTTCAGTAGTTGGAAATGCATCTTCGTGGCAACACATGGATGTATAATTGATAACTTCAGTACAAGTCAACAGATGGCAGCAGTTATTAGAGTAGAGAAGTGATCCAGATAAGTCATAACAGTTTGGTTTGACTACTGTTGATAAACACATTATTTTCCTTAATAAGCCTCTCTGATGAACAAGTACCATTTTCTCTGTAACTACCTTTAAAAAATGCATAATCCATCCTAGTAATAATCAGGAAAAGTTAAGGGATTTTGCATTGAGACCTTGGTTCATGAAACAAATAATTATGTTCCTTTATTTTAAAACCAATGCACTATTAAAGGATGACAAAAATGTATCTTTGTAGATTATGATTAGTAATATTGAATAAACTAACGTATAACGAGTTTTAATTATACCTTTGTAACAGGAATACAACTGTAAGTATGATAAATATGTTGACACACTAATACCTTTGTAACAGGAATACAACTGTAAGTATGATAAATATGTTGACACACTAATATAAGACATTGCTTATGTTATCATCCACAAATGTCAGGGTAAACTACTGTTATAGGTATGTCTTCTATAACTAAGTTGACATTGGGATAATAGTTTAAATGTTTATACATAATTAAAGTAAACACTGCTTAAAGAAACTTAAAAATATAGAAAACTTTGTGAAAATAAGTAGTAACACTGACAAAAGCACAATAACAGGTCCATGCTGTTACCTGAAGAGCAGGTAATCTGTTTTAAGAGTGTATCATGGTTTACAGAATTGGAGTAAAACTGTGAACACACACACACATGAGCATTTAAAGCTGTATAATCAAAAGAGTAGCATGCATGTATGGGAAGCTTTTTAAACATCATTAACTTATGCAAATATAAAATTAGGAGGAGGAAAGTATGGATGATGTCACCATATGTGCATGGGAAGTTTTTATACCTTCTTTAAACTATGGAAAAATGAAATTAGGAGTAGGGACGCATGAACAATGACATGCACAAGTGGGTGTAGATAGTATTATGCATTGCAAAGAGAAAGGTATTTGGGGGATAGATCTGTCATCTATCAGAGTCCCATCTCAGACAGTAGTGTTTATGTGTTAAGGATTTGTGTGGAAGTTTTTCATTTGTTTATAGACACTTCGAGTAACAATATCGTCACCCTGTTGAGTTTCAATACTTGCCTTTGATACCCAAATTTTGAAAAAGTTACTAGATCTGGTGTCTGTTACTAGATAAGCCAATTGGTTTGTTATTTTTGATCACACCATTAAGCTCAAAGTGTCATTTGTTATAGAGGTGTTTGGTGGGTATCACATGTTGTAGAATAGGTTTAGCCCACCTAGGTTTAACCTCACAGTCATTGAGATACGTTGCATGGCCATCATATTTCTTCAGGACTCTTTAAGTACCTTACTTCTTACGTGAGTAGTCTTGGTAGGTCACATAACTGTTTTAATTACTTTAAATACACAGCACTAGCTTTACCTTTTATGAACTTTGTACATATAAGTACAAAATACTACAACCAAAAATAATGTTTCATACTCAGAGCAGGAGTTTTTCCCCCTAGTGTTTATAAAAAAAAGGACATTTACTGTGGTAATGTCAGTAGGTGCATTTGTCTTTGTATGGACAGCTCTTGCCTTCATATTTTCTTTGTCTTCTCCCTCCTCTCTCTCTCTCTCTTTCTTATTTACATAAGATTTTATTCTAAAAGTGCTTTTCATATTTGATTATATCCTACGTAATGTTGTATAACATAGGACACTGACTATTACACTTTTGTTTTTATCATTTCCGTGAATTGTGTTGTCATATACTGCTAAATAATCTTCTGAAATAATAATTTGTTGAAAGTACATTTTAAAGTTTCTTTAACATGGAATAGTGTATTAGTGTATATAAGTGTTAAAGTTATTTCAGTTTTTGATACAATATTCTATTATAATTTAATGCTTAAAAATAGCTAGGGACCTGTTGATCCCATTCCTGAATTAAATTATATAATAGTAAAAAAAGGTCAAAATCAGCCCTTATCATTCAGATATTTACCAAGCCTTTTCTTAAACTCCCTTAAATTTATTGCTTCCACTGCATTTGAAATAACCCATTCCAAGGCCAACTACCCTGTTAGAAAAATAAAATTTTCTTAGCTAAAGATGACTCCAATCTTGCCAAAATTTATATTTCTGCCTTCTAGTCCTACCATTCAGTACAAACAAAGATGATGCATCGATGCTATCAATTCCCCTAACAATCTTAAACACCTCAATCAGATGCCCTCTAGCTTTTTTTTAAAGATAAAACAGTAAAGAGATGTTAACCTTTTCTTGTATGACAACTTTTCCATCCTCGGTATCATCCTATTAGCCTCCCCTCTGAACCCCTTTCCAACAATTCAATATCTTTTCTAAGGTAAGGCACCTAAGATTATCTTACTGCTTTTCTCAACTTATTCTGCCCTCTATACGCATAAATCTTTGCTCAACACTAGCTTTGATATTTCCACCTACCCTCACGTGTATTCACATGAGATGTCTGCATGCTATCACGCAAATGATCATGCAGCAAATCTCCACCAGTTGGAGTGCAACACAACTCCTATTGTCACCACTGCCCTCTCTTTCGTGCAGCCTGTAATCACTTCTCGATTGGCAGTTGTACTGTTAACTAGGACATATTTTTGCACATGCTTACCTACTGATTGTTTTCATTGAATAGTTCCATCAATTTTCTTGCTCACATTTTGAATATTATTCAAGGCCTTGTATATTTTTTCCAGGTTTTTCAAACCATATTTTTTTTAGTTTTCACTGTTTTTGAATTGCTTGTTAATCTTTGATTCTCCTTTTTGCCAGTCAAATCCACTCATCATGATCTTGCACTTCGCAACTACCACTGCTGCTGTGATTCTTACAGCTGATCTTCATGCCACTACAGTGACATCAGGGGAAGATTTATTGTCTCAGAAAGTAATAGTTCTGGTTTGAAGGTAGTTGCCCACCTTTTTACAGTCATATGTAGTTCCCGTTTGTTTATTCCTTGGAATCCTTCTAAGTCCCGTTACCTTTCTCCTATTCTCATTCTGGGTTGGAGTTCCCAGATACCTCATCTGGCTTATTCTTCCCTTTCACTGGATATTTGTCATCTTTTCCATGTGTCTTCATATGAAATCCATCACTGTACCATGTCCCAGGCTTCTTATTTCTGTTATACATTGGAGGATGCCAGTTGTGCCAGTTTGTGGACCACTCCCTATACCTACACTGATCTTTATCTTCACCACCCAGCCGTTTCCTGCTGTACAGGTTTTCCTCTTCCTTCCGTCCCCATTTTGCACTCCATGATTCCTCTATGTGTGGGTAAGTGCTCCTTTTTTTTTCTACTTTTTCTTTGCACAGTGAGACAACTTTTTCCCACACTTAAAAAGATAATTTTTTTTTCAAGCTTTACAGTAGTACCTTTTCAAATGCTTTCTGAATATCCTGATATACAAAATCCACACCCTTAACCTCATCTAATAAGCAGTAATCTCTTCAAAGTATGTCAAAAGATTATTAAGGCAAGATTTCCATGTTGAAACCATGTTGACTATCCAACAGAATTGTAAATTTTGTCAAGTACTTTACAAAAATCTTTTATCAAACTTTCAAAAACTTTTCCCACCACTGATGTAAGATTAATATGCCTATAATTATAATGACAATTTATTTCACCTCCTTTGAAAAAAGGATTTAATTAGTCAATTTCCAATTACTAATACCAAACTTTTACTTTGCTCTTAAGATGTATTGAGAAATTTTAGACAGATTCCAATGCATTTTGTAAGTTTTTAAAACATAATCTTAAATTCTTAATTAAATATAATCTTATTTGCATTTATTCTTCTGCTTACATGGACAGTTATTCCAGTGAAAGGTAACTTATGTTATTCAGTATATTACACATAATTTATTGTGACTAGAGTTACCACCAGTTACAGAAATGTTTTTTTATTCATATCTGAAATGCAGCATTTCATTTCTGGTAACAACAAAACATGAGTTGTTCCATATTTTACCTATTTTGTTTTTTAAAATTTAGTTTCTGACATGATGACAATTCTGAAAATTATCAAACACCAACAAAATATTTCTTTTTTTAGAGCTATTTGGGTAACTATTCTAATTCTGAGATGGATGTATACTATTATATAATAAGTTTTTAAATGAAGTGGTGATCTTATGTCTCTACAATAATTGTTCAAGGGGTCCATACTTTCATGGAAAAGAATACTACAAGTTCAAATTTTTTATAAAGTAGTGAAACAATTTTGTGTACATAGTTTTCAGGTAAAAGAAATCAAGACTGTCCAAACACCAGAACTGTCATTTTTGTTGTTGTGTTCCTCCTTTTTTTTAGTATTTGCTTTATTATAACTTTTCCTTACAAAGTAATTTTTGTCAATTTTAAGGGTTTTGTTTTTGTCAAGTCAGTACAATGTACTCTGTATGTTTAGTATGAATTGCCTTAAACACTGACAAGTCTTTTTTTTTGTTGTTGTTTATTTGTTTGATATGCTGATGTTTTATGTGATTTTTTTAAGCATGGAAAGAATTGTTTTTTGACTTCAAGAAGCGTGTTGCACACTGATGAAAACAAGGTTAAGTTGCATCAACCAGTAAATATAGAACTGTATTTATTAAATGCTAAAAACAGAAATCTTTTTTTCTTCTTATTTATTTTAAAATCAAACTAAAAATATATTATAAAGTTCAACATTTGTAACAAATATTAATCTTTATTTCCATGGCAGAGCATTATAAGAATTACTTCATTGGTTTGTTATTGGTGTGTTGTGAGTATATTACATAATAAACTAAAGGTGTTTTTATTTAATGATATTTGCAACATATGTACTTGTGCAGCAAAATGTGTTTTGAAGAGTCTTGGAACATTAGATGATGTGTGTTCCAGTAGAAACTGAGAGATATGGAAATACTGAACATCCAGCAGTAAAAGACTGATAGAACTACAACTCAAGGTGGAACCAATAGCAATTTTTCAATAGAGTGAACAACAAGAATTCTGGTTGTTTTCTTTCCAAAGTACTTTATAGCGAGTTTTGTGTTAAAAAAAGGAAACATTGTTGTGTTCTATACGTTAATAAAATGATGTTAGTTTAAGATACAATAACAATGTGATGTGTACTTTTTACATGTACATTTTCACTTTGCCTATTTAGCACACCTATAAAATTTGGTACACATAACCCTCAACATATGTGCCTCTTGCAATCAAACTACTTAATAAGTTTCAATATACCTTTCAAAGAACACAATAAATGAAAAACTTTTAAAGCCACACGTAATGTTTGCACACATTTAACAAAATTGGACTTGAATATATGTGTTATTGCCATCTAGCATCCAAGAGATACTAGATCAAATTGTTTCAGTTACTGCATCAGTTGTTCTTTTTTTATGACTAATTGGTAAAAATGTTTTAAAATATGATCAATAATTTTGAAGTAAAAATCATTAAAGATTGGAAACTAAGAGGATAATTTGTTTTTCATTATATCCACTATTTTACTTTATAGGTTGCACATGTGCAAGTAGTTTTGGCTTTAGTGGTCTAACTTGTAATTATTGTTGGTATGATATTAATTATATTTTCAGAGCATAGTGTGGGTTTAAAGTTTCACAACTAAATGTTTTTGCTAGCACGTAAATTTTTGGAGTCCCACAGATTCAAGCACGTAGAAGAATTATTTTACACAAAACATAAAAACATCAGAGTTTTTAACTTCCTCATTTATTACTAAGTGTAATATAATTTTAATGTTTTCTACATTGCTCTTCCATGATGTTTTTCTTGCTTTTCCCATCGTGAGATTCTATGCATTGTTTAGTACAAATCAGAATAATAGAGCAGAACATTTCCACCCACAATACCACATGAAAATATATAGATGTTGAATCACGGAAAAATACTAATATATTAAAACAAGTCAAATGAATATACAAATGTTCTTTACGCAGTGAATTACCACAGATGAATCTAGAGCTTTAAATAATTTTCATTTTTAACAATAGTCCACACAGGATGGTTCAGTTACTTTAGAACCCAATTGACAAAACAAATTATTCTTCTCTACTCTGTTATCACAATACAGTCTGTGATTATTACACTTTAGAAATCACCACTGTATGGTCTTTATGACTAATCTCACAATCACTAACTTACTTACTTTAAAGCTCCCACAATATAAACTAAATAATACTCTCATATTAAACTTAAAATGAACAGTCTATGAGCTGATGAATCAGTTTGACTTAGACTCTAACAAGTTGGAGTGAAAGGTAATGTTCATGTGAACAATACCAATAGCTTTGTCTATCATCCAGTTTGCATACTTCATTTGCATAAACTCTAGAACCTCCAAATCTACAGTATTTCAGTACCCCTGGATATTGTATCTGATATTTACTCTCATCTACCACGAAGTTAAATTAGCAATGTAGGGTAAAATGAATAGTTGAAAACTCAGACGTCAAATACATAATACCATGTTAAATGGCACTTTTTAAAAGGTTGGGGCATGTTTTGTTAGTATTAAAAAAATAAATTAATGTAAAACTATAGAAAAGCACCCCATGTATAATCTTTCATAATTTACTTCATGTATGTTTTGCTGATGTACAATGTATATCTTTTTTACGAATGTCTTCTTCATTCAGCAGTACCGTTAACATTGAAAATAAGCATGTATGACACTAGTGATATTTTTTTGTAATATTTCATATATTGCAAGTTTTAGTGTACAATAACAGCTAGCAGTAAAATTTATGATTGTGTTAATCATCTTCTTATACCTGTTACGATAGTACATGTAATCCACAAACTTGTATGCATATCAAACCTGAAACCTGTAAATGAGCAGCAGAAATGCTTAAGAGTTTAAATAGATTGCAAAGAAATTTTCCACTATCTAAATGAACTCGTATTTCTCTTTAGTGGAAGAATAAAATATTATCAGGAGCACTGCCTAGTTATTGCTATGTATATTTCAAGTTACTATGAATACTGCTTGAACCTGTATAAGATTGTAACAGTCTCCTGTTTTTATCATTGATTCATCAAAAATAAATTATTTTTACAAATAGTTATAAATATTGATATGAAAGAAAAACTGTGAACATCCCTTTGTTTTAGTATTAAGGTTATTACATTAAAATTACTACTATATGAAGTATAACACCTTATGAACTGTATGTACCAATGCATCATATTGCACATTTTAATATCTTCTGACCAGAAACATTTCTACAATCAGAGCTACCCCCCACATTCTGAAGTCCATTATACTAAAAAATAATTTACTATTTTGCTCTAAAAATCCAAAGAGTTACTTCTGTTTCAGCAAATGTTGCTTTATTGTGAATTTAGACAGTTGATTTGGTGTTGAGGTGACATTTCAAGCAGTACATTGAGTTTGAGTTTTCCCATCAGCAATTTTACCTTTTCTTAATATTTTCTGATCCATTTAACTGCATGATAATCAAGTTTATTGTCCTTAAAATCTTGGAGGTTTATTAAATTGTTATTAAAATAATCACTTTCTTAAGTAAAAAGAGAAGTGTATCCAAAGTATGTAAATCTGTTTAGAAATATGCAACTATAGTGTGACTCATAAGGTTTGAGGCAGGAAGAAGTTTGATGGTTTTATTCCCAAACAAATTTGATGATGTATTGGCCTTAAAGTATGATTGGAATGTTGGGCACAAAACAAAAAGCTTGTTTATTTTTTGGATTGTTTGATGCAAGTGAAGCAGTTTGGTTGTTTCTGGCTTCTTGTTTGTAAGTAGTCTTAACACTATTGTTTTTATAATCTTTCTGATGATTCTGGTTAAATTTTTATCCATTTTGAAAGTTCCCTGTTTTTGTTTTGACTCTTCGTGTAGATGACTATCAAATAAAATATGTCTAGCTTTGCCTGTAAAAGATTTCATGATTTAGTTGGTTGTGGGTGGTAAGTTTTTAGTTTGGGTTAGTTTTCTTTGTAGTTTTATGACTGTAGGTTTGTAGCTTTTTTTTTAATCAAGATGCCAAGGAAAGATAATTGGTGTTTGCTTCTCTGGTAGATCTGTATTGATAGATGTTCATTTACATGACTATACAACTGTTTCAGAGATTCATGATAGAACACAAACTTATCATCTACATACTAAATAATTGTTGCACATGAAATCATTATATAAAACATTTATTTTGTACTTCTGTAGATTTCACATCTTTTTTTTTTTTTTTGGATACTATTTCATTGAAAAAATATCTAATAAAACCAACCTTTTTAGAGATGTTTAAATTTTGTTATCTAATTGTATGCTTTTGTAGGAAATTGGTGACAAAACTCCAGTCAAATTCTCTGGTTAGGTAAGTAGTGTGTTTTTATTTAATTTATTTTGTATCATATTTTAGTTTTGGGTGTTGAGGTGCAATATTTTTAATCCAAAAAGCTTTTACATATATTCAAATTTTGTGTAATGGTAAGTTGTAAAGATTGTATGAATTAACAACTTTTTATAATATTCTTTTGTACTGACTTGTATTTAATTAATTTTTCTTTAATAGTTTCATTAATATTATTGTTTATAATGTTAAGATAATTTTACATTATTAGTTTACTATATGAATTTTTAAATTAACCTAAATCTCTTAAGTTGGTAAAAATACTAGAGTGTCATGTAAACAGTTTAAATGACACAAGTGGTGATTTGTTGCATTATTTTCAGTGGATTTCTTCTTCAGTAGTTGACAGTAAAATAAACACTGAAAAGAAGTAGTTTGAAACTTAGAAACCAATAATAATAAAAAAGGGCACAGCTAATCCACCCCCTGAGAACTCCTGTTGACAATGTTCCATGTCATGACAACGTGCAATTCACAAACACTCATGTCTTGCATACACCAAACAAAATGGGGAGCCTTAAAATTCAGAAATTTAGTATGGTCAATATGGAATCAAGCTTTGCATGGCTTACTTTTTATATTAAGGGCACCTTACTATAGAGGGCATTTGGACACAATCGGAAGGGTGCCCATAATGTCGAGATTCTACTGTATTTTTGACAAACTAAAATGAAAATTTACATAATAGACTGCTTCTGTAGTAGAAATTTCAGAATGAAATTTAAGTTACTTTTTCATCCCTTTAGTGCTTAATCAAACATTCAGCTACAGTTCTACCATATTCCTAAGTAGTTATGATGCAAAACAATAGAAATATTTTAGTTGTATTTTGTTAAAAATTAGATACCAGTGTATTATTTATTCAAGCAAATATAATTTGTTATACAGAATATTTGCTGAGAGTTTTTGTTTAGTCCTGTTGATAGTAAGCTGTTTGTTCTTGTTTTGTTTCATAACCATTGGTACATGTAAACTTTTGTTAAATTTTCCCATTATTAGCAACTAACCAAAATATTGTAGTCCATCAACATTAGTGTTTGTTCCAGTTCTGAGTGTCAGTGACTATTACTCTTTATTCCTCACTACCGGCACCAGCAATGAAAGTTCAAGCTTCTCATATTCAATTCGTTTTCTAATGTGGTCAAGCCAAGTGTGTCTCTGCCTGCTTCTTGTCCTCCTTTCAATTTTACCCATAAGAATTTCTGCTAATCTTAATTTTCCCTCAGATCTAATTAACCTAAAGGAGTGCATCTTTTGTTTCTACATACATCCAGTAGTTGCATTTTGTCTTTGCACATTCCAATACTTCCTCATTAATTTTTTTTCTGTGTAGTTGATTTAAGTGAAGATTTATATTTATTTTAATTTGAATCTTACTTATAAAGACAGTATTGAAGCTTTGCACATCAGTTGCTCCTGTAGATATATTGATGATATTCTCATACCTCATTATCAAGATTTTCTTGACACAGCCAAACAAATTTATTCACCAGAACTCACTTAGGAAAAAAGCTCTTTTACTAAAAACAAAGAACACAAACTGGATTTGGAGATCAGCATCATTAATCAAACATTTCAGTTCAAAGATTTTAATAAAACAGACACTTTCACCTTTGGAGTTATAAATTTTCCATTTCGAAATATAAATATTACAAATAAATTATGCTACAATGTTTACAACTCACAACTTATTAAATACAATAGAATTTGTTCTACATTATGAGATTTCACAGACAGAGCTCATAAAGTCACTCATTTTCAATAAACAAGGCTTTTCCTATTAC